GTACACCAAATAACTACTTCTAAATTTTGCATCAGGAACATGTCATATGTCTGTGAAACTATTTTCTTCAGATAGTTTTTATGTGGTAGTTTGCTTATTTGCCTGGAAGTCTCACTGTCTTCTCCTCACCTGAGTTTGTATTTTAGGTGGAAACTCTTAGCTTATACATGAACGTATAGGGTAATTTTTATTTTCACTTAAATAGAACTAAAATGATACTTGCACAAAATGTGCCCTAGCATGTGCTTGTTCTGTCCTTGGGCAAACTAGAGCATTCTGTCTGAAAACTTCCTATGATCTAGAGAAAGGAAAAAAAACTTCTTTCCTTCCCCTTCCTTCCCCTTCCTTCCCCTTCCTTCCCCTTCCTTCCCTTTCCCTCCTTCCTTTTCCATCTAACTGAATTTTGCATTGCAAAACCTTGACCAAAAATAAGCCAGTTGAAACTTTTGCTGCAGTGTATCAGTGCTGCTTCTTGTATAGACTCACCTTGTGTATCATGTGTCTTGTCCAGTATCTTGCCACTTGCAGAGAAAAGTACCAGCTGCTCTGGAGGAGAAACAAGAAACTTTTCAGTAGATAGATGCAGAATTTTAACTGCTGTCTGAGGAAAGCTTCTCAAGATGTTGATGCAACAGATGACTGAAAAAGCAGCTATCCATCCTTTCTTTCACTGGCAAATCTTGTAGCAAGGTCATGAATTTGAATTTATTTTTTTTTTTAGGGTAGATTCATAAGGAGTTTAGATTCTGACTCTTGAAAGCTATGGATTTATCAGTAAATTGTGGCTGGACTGAATTCCACCTGGAATTCAAGATGTCAGTCTGTGTGGCATTGATTTGTCATGTGATAACTTCAGTAAGAGAAGAGGAGAGTTCAGTCAGTGAAAAGGTAAGTTTGGAAGAGCAGCAAGATGAATCAATGCTGATACCAATAGAAAGCTTAGTAAAAATGAGAATGCTGGGAAGAGATGACTGCAGGTATGACATCACACTTGAGCTTATGATTTTATATTATGTTAAAAAAAAAGTCTATCTGAATCACAAATAATTAAGTAAAGAAATATTTTTTTAAAAATCTATGTCACTTCACTATCCCCAAATAAAATGGAAGCTGAGGTAACCCTCGGTAAGCGTAGATATCATGCGTGTATCATAAACCTTGAGAAATTCTGTCTTCAGTAGTCCTTGGTCCTGGAATTGAGTAATTAAATGAGAATCACAGCTCATATTAGAGAAGAGCGTTTTTGACCCTCTTGAAATGAGAGAAAAATTGAAAGCAATGTGGGCTTACACTTACCATGCAGAGGCCAAAAGGAAAAAAACATATGTATATACAGTTTTGAGTTCTAGGCCGAGATCATGATGTTTTAAGGTCTGACTTGTAATTGTTGGTCAATTAGGACTAACAGAGTAAAGTATTAATGCTGCGTGTGGTTTGGCTACAGGCAAGGAGTATGCAATGAGATGGTAGTCCTATTAAACTCCTCCACATTGTAGTGGAATATCTAATGCTCTTACTCTTTTGTGTACTCTCTGACTTCTTCAGTTCACATTAGTAATTCAGCTGAAAAGGATACCAATATTGGTGACTCTTAACACAAAGAGTAGTTTTCAGATACCCCCAAATATTTAAAACTTGATTTTATTGCCATTGTCTGATCGAACAGTGATGTGGCAGATAATTAACAAATCCTGTCACACATTTTCTCAGAAAAATATTTTTCCTTCAGCAAGTACGTGGATGGGTAAGTAAAGTTCAGTTGTACGTGTCCTTGCAGTGACTATAATCAATGTATTGACTATCTTGCTGGGAGGTAATCCTCAGCTACTGTGTTGTCTGTCTGTCTTGCTCTCTGAAGGGCCTGCCTTTGTCACACTTTTTTCAGAAGCTTTAATAATACTACCATTGGTTCATCAGCTAATACTGTTGATGCTACAGTCTTGCAGTGTTTCCTTAAAAATTATCCTGGCTTTTGCTATAGAAAGGAAAAACTGATTCCCAAATCAAAGAAGCTTCCTGGGCTGTAGTATGGTGTTTGAAACAAAAAACCCCCATGTTCAGTGATACGAACTAATACTGAAGAAATTATAACATCAACATATTAAGTAACACCTTGTAATTCTTATATCAATAAAAACATACTTGTCCAGAATTAAAATAGTATCCGAAAATAAATAGTGCTCAAGATACTACTAATCATGGCTTTAGGAAATAAATTTCCCACCTAAATAACCTACTTGAGAATTTTCTAATGTAGAAATATTAACAATTTCTAGGTAAGTAGAAGAGAAAAAATAGCAAAGGGAAGTATATATGCAGTAGGCATAAAAAAATTGAAAAAATAAATGAATAATAATTGTGTCTTGTTTTTCTGCATCATCAAATACTTTGCCTAAGTTGCTAGGTAGTAAGTGAATGTCTTTTAAGTAACTAGAAAAGTGCAAATTTCAGATTTTTCAGCTGTTCCATTATGCTTCTGAAACATAATGGAAAATAAGTATGCTATGTCACATAACAGAAGTTAAATATATTTTAAGATTGTGCTCTCAGCCTGAGCAGATGAGACGGGAAGATACACAGCAGCATAACTCAACTTCTGTGACTGAATTGAGTAATATAAGGTACAGAAGAGAAACAGTTCACTAGGGCTAATGGCAGCCACCTCAGCTCGCCACCCTGTCATTTCTCTCTTTGTTCTCTTTGTTTTCATACTTGCTTTCTTGGAAAATACAGAGGGAAGCTATCGGATGGAATAATTCTGGCCTCAGCTCTCCATCCCAAGTGTCCTTTGGTTTTAGTTTTTTTTTTTTCCCCCTCACCTACCCCAAAAAGCTGACCCAAGTACATGTGTGCAGTCTGGCACTCCTTCATGGACAACACAAGTAAGGAGAAATGAACCAATGGATGCAAAAGTATAATTTAACGGGAAATTTGAAAGAAAAGTCTGAAGAGATACAAGAAGAGAATGAAAATGGTGTGAAAAAGGGTAGGCTGGAGTTGTACTATTACACAGTGTGAGGGTAGTTGAGAGAGAATGTCTGTCAATCTAGAATAAAGACTATGCTAGTAAGAAGTCAAGAACTCCTGAGGTATGAATCTGGAATGTTTTTTGGAAAGAAATACAGTAATCTGCGTAAGCTTTCTTTTTCTGTCTGAAGAAGCTGACTCCCACTGCCAGTTCCTATTCCTTCTCTGTACAACTGATGGGGTTTTGTCTATGGAAGGCACTGTGGGCTAGGGGCAGTGATGCAGTCGTCATCGTCTGGTCGAGCAGGCATTCAGAGACGTTCCTATGTACTCCTCACTGAGGGCTCTACTTCTCTCTTGAAGTGCTAATACGTGTACACAAGCTGCCACAGAAAGGACATTAACTTTAATCTTGTTCTCAATATCAAAGTTGTACTTTAGGATGGTCTTATTTAGAATCTTGTTAATCACCAGTGGATTCCTTGTCTAACAGACTATACCTTAAGATGCCATCTGTGTGAGGAGAGTCATGCTGCTGGCTCAGTCAAAAGCAACTGGATTGGAATAGCTCCAGTGCTGTTACAAAGCAATGAGTTGGCCAACTGCTAATTTAAAAAATGGGAGACAAAAATAGGTGTCTTAATGCACTGTTCTGTCTTCATTAGAACTGTTGGTGATGGGACTTTTAGTTTTCTTTACAATGGCAGTACACGCTTTGCTCTAGGCAATGCATTTAAACCTTGATCCAGTATAGTATCTAAACATGTGCTCATCTTTAAGTGTATGAAAAGTTTAATTGCCTTAGGTTTTTTTCCCATGCTCTTAAATGTCTTTGCTGGTTTGAGGCCTTTACCATAAGTTTTCATAAGCATTAAAATCACTCTTGAGATTTTAGTGAAAGCTTTTTTGAATATCCTGCTTTGCAGGATTCCTTCCATTTGCATAAATGTTGTCTAGAACACTTGGACCTAAAGGTCCAAGAATCTGCCTTAAGCGTCTTTGTTGTCTCAGTAAATTTGGGATGATCTGGTCTGGAGTGCTGATGGTGCTACCTTTGGTTTAACATAAGTTATGTTAAGCCTACATCAACAGGCAGATATAGCTACCTTTCCTGTTGTGGCACTTTGTAGGTCATGAGATTTGTCACTGTTTTGGGGGAAAGAATAAGAAAAATTGCGTTTTGTGAGGTGAGTATGAAGTTAAGGTAAATGACATGTTGTCATCCACTCATACTGCTTTTGCCAGAAAATCAGAGGTGTTTTCATGTAGGTGACTATTTAATTTAGTTTCCACTTTGATACAGCAGCAAAGACTCCGTCCGCCTCGGCCACCGCCTCCAAAGATACAGCGTTCATCTAGGCCCGTGAGTAGTTGGTAGTTTTGTTTCACTGCCACAGCTTAACACTGCCTGAATTACGCTCTTAGTAGCATTACTAAACCTTGGTAGTTTGGATTGTCAAACTTTGCAAAAAAGCAATGTGTGAATTATGCTCCTAAACTCCCTTCTTCTCTGCTGTGGCACAGCCCTGGGACCTGCATTTATTCTGCTTTTCTTTGATGAGTTCTGCAGCTTTCAGTCAGTTCTGCAGGTAACTGATGCTGCTGTTGCACCATTTGTTTTTACTTTTTGCAGTGATTTCTTAAACAAAAAGTCTTGCTACGCTGGCATAAGTTTTTAGCCAGTGAGCTTTTGAAGACTTGCACTAAACTCAAATATGAAAGGAAGCAGAATTCTGAAGAGAAAGTATTTATTCTCTGTAAGTTATGCTTTAAATTAATTTGGGACGCTTAACTTTTCTCCATGGAATAGATGAGTGAATACACATGAAGAAAGCAGAGTCTATATTTGGGCGGTAGAACATTAGTACCACATTGTGGATGATATACATATATACTTTATGTTCATTTAAAATGCAAGCTGGGACTCTATGTAATTACGTAGTATAAAAAATGTAGGCACAGCATGTTGGCCAGAGGAAATGACTGTTACATAGAAGAACTACACAGAAATTATTCTCAATGCAATACCTGTACTGTATTAGGCAGGGATACCTTATCTCAGCAGTTTTTCATTCAAAACACTAACTGTAGGACAATTGTTACATATTGACTATGCCAGATGGCTTTAAAACTGGAGACTGTGCTGGATCTGCACCAGTGATTTTTTTTTTTTCAGTAGTACAGGAAAGTGGTATCAGTTTAGAAGGGGTGTTGTTTTTTTGCAACAGCCTTGGAAGATATTTATTTCTATTCAGGACTTTTGCTTTATGAATATAATTCCCCCAAAAGGCAAATACGTCTTACTCCTTGCTTCCTTATACATACATGTACATGCATAAGAAAGAGAGAGATGCAAGTTTTCAAATCTAATCTTGCTAAAACTTGTTAAAAATATGTTTCTGATGAGCAGGCAACTGGTTAACAAGTGCACTTGGGTGTGTGTTAACTTTTGATCTTTGGTGCATGTTCCTATGTTACATTTCAATAGCATGTGTTTCTTTTCTTCCTTCTTTTTAACTCTGGGTGTTTAGCTTAACAGAGTCATTTTTATGGATTCCTGCTCTGAAGATTTCTGTTTTCTGTGTTTAAAAGGTAGCATTGACTATGCTTATATGTGTTCTCTTAAACATAATTGATATGGGAGACCCTCCCAGATACGTTACACTAGGAACAAACCTTCCATGGTACTATGGGGTTCCCATAGTGCTTCATAGCCCTCTTGTTTTGTGTTTGGCAGGTGTATGAGGGCACAGTGCGATTCCTCTGTACAAAAGTTGCTAAACAGTATTGTTCAGATTGAGTAATTTATTACATCAAAGTCTTGCTAAGACTGTTTAATCTCCCAGCTGTAGTGCATTAATAGTCCTCGCTATAATGTGTTTGTGTCAACTGTCTTTGCTGCCAATGTGATTGATAAAAGGTTGTAAATGTAATAATAAAAGCTCCTGTTGCATTCATCTAGCTGTGTCACTAAGTGGAACAGAAATGCTTCATTCATCAAGAGGAAATTCAAGATAAATGTAAATGATTATAATCACTTCCAAAAATATGCTTGTACCAAATATACATAAATTTGTTGTTGTTCAGAACTGTTATTTGGCTTTTAATAGTTGAAATGCATTTTTGTGTGTGTAAATAATACTTTGTGCAGGCTGCTTTTTCCCTCTCTTAGTCTTGGCATATATTACAGAGGTGGGTATCGGCAAGTAATTTTTCCTAGCCTTTTACAGCAAGCACTGAATGAGGACACCAGGTCCCTCTGCTCTTCCAACCAAGTCCACATAGTACCAGAATTCCTGAGAAATACTTGCTGTTTTCAGGATATATGTTATGAGGAGGAATCTATGGGCACTAGACCTTGCAATATGGGTCATTACTAATAATAGAAACAAAAACACAGACCAAAGAAAGGTTAAGGAAGCAGAACAGATAGGTTCTTTGCATTCTGCTGTTTTGGAAATGAGTTGTGGTGGTATTATGAAAGAGAGTGAGTTGTTACTTATAATTAATAGAGACCTGTTTGGATTAGTAGTGGCTGTTTGGAAACGTCATTCAATTAGAAAAAGTTAAAATATAATAATTATGCATAAAGCTGATGGGGACAGTAATAAGCACATTTAACCCTTCTGTACTGGATGTTTACCTTTATTCTTTTGGCTGTGTGCTCATGTAATTGGATTTCTTTCATACTTTTGCATTTGATAAGCATTTAACCTTGCCTATTTGGCTACATAAAGCTCAAAATCCAGCAAGGAATTGGCTTGATTCCTGCCTTTTCCCTGCAGTCCCCCATGAACAATGCTCTAAATCCTACTTAGCATGTCACCCTGCACTTTACTGGTCTGGTAGCCCCCTGGAGCCATCCAAAACTCTCATCTCTCCCCTTCATCACCATCACTCCCCCAGGGTACCACCCAAAAGGTGAAAGTGTTCACAGCATGATGACAAGCCAGCTTTACACATCATCCTCCAGCTCAGATTTAATTAAACAGGTTTCTTTCTTCCTCTTTTTTTCTCCTTCTCCTTCTCGCTCTCTTCTCCCCTCAATTCCTCTTGCTTCTCTCCCCCCTCTCTTGCATGCACTCGCGCTCTCTCTTGCTCGCTCTCTCTGTTTTATCAACCCTAATGAAGCAGTATTCTTCATCGATCCTGCTGATTGCCAGCCCATTCCTTTTGTTTGTTGGCACCGAGCCATTCAGCCGCACTCTGACAGCTCAGCTCTTCTAATTAGCTCTGTTGTTCTTTTCCCCATGTTTCACCACGTTGCAAGTTCAGTTGAAGTTGCCACAAACTTAATCCTTCCATTCCTGCCATAAATTCACATTCTTAAGCCGTCTATTGTAGAGAGGAGCAGCCTTGTGTGGGGACTGATCTTCAAGACCTTAACATCTGACCTTTTTATAAGCCCTTTTTCCTAAGAAATAGTGGCAATACATCTCTGAATTTCTTCATCATATCTGCTGTACACCATTTCCTTTGAAATGAAAATTCAATACAATAATCCTGCCACTATCTTCTGCATATTGTTGTGTAGTGCAGAAACACTACACATAATTCAGTGGCTTTTTCCTGGCAAGAAAATTTGAGGTTTATGTGCCTGGGAAAAAAGAAAAAAAAGAAAAAGCCCAGAAACACCCCACCCCCAACAAAAAATAATAATAAAAAAACCCAAACAAAACAAAACAAACAAAAAACCCACAAAAACTTGCAGAGGTGGGGGGAAATCTGCATCTATTCTATCATTGCAAGCAAATTCATTAGTCATCCAAAGAGCGCTTAGGCTGTAGGCCTTTAACAGCTTCCTTTGTATTGTGGCTATTAAGGGAGCACAAGCTCAGGGAGGTCAGAAGTTGAGGTTTATTCCTAACTTTATTTGAGGGCTTTGGGGATTTCCGTTAAAGCTAGCATTCAGCTAAGCCAACAAATCAGACTCCATTTCAGGTAAGGTAGTACTTTCTTAATAAAAAATGGAAAGCTTGTTTGTAAGGCTGACCCCAATGCTGCAAATGTTCATTCCCACATTGGACTCAAAGGGATAAGTTCATCAACAGGATTACTCACTAGTATAGGTAGGCACATGCACAAACTTTGCCTATATAGTGGTCATGTGTGCTTATTCCTTTCCGTGAAGTAAAGCTTGTTTGCAAGTAGATTAAGCTTGATTTCTGAACATTAGAAGGTGATGGATATGTTATTTAAGATTGGATTGGCAGCAACATCATCTTCCACAGAAAAGCTTTGGATTTTATTACAGACAACAAAAGATACACTAACATAACATTAGGGGTGATAATGATAATATGTCTGGCAAGCGTTTCTGTTCAGCTGCTGAAAGGAAGCAAATTTTTAATGAAGAATGAGCTATGTTTTTCATGTTATAACGTTTATTCTAAGTACAAATTTTTCAGTGCTCCCTTACACAGAAGTCTTCACTTGAGAAGTTGGGTTCCTATGAATAAGTGGACAAAAGGATCGTGATGTCAGAGCTGAACTCCACTTTCCAATATACTATACAGCAACACACAGGATTTTCCAATTTTACTCTATCAACTAACTGTACAAGGGGAAGCTCACATTTAGGGAAGCTTTTATCAGAAATTCAGCCTGTGCCAAACAGGACAGTGGAACAAATTTTTGTTGCTTTGCTAATAGCTAACAGTCAGTGACAAGCAGATATGTTTCATTTGCTATTCAAAAACATGGGGTTTTGTCCTTAAACAAGTTGTGGGTCCCTGTAGTTTATATTCATACTTTATATTCATTTGTATAGCTATATTCATTTGTAACATTGTTGTGGCACAGAAAATAAAGAAGTTTAAAAGCAATTCTCAATGAAAGATACCTTAAGGTGGTTATGCATGTTTTGTTATTTATGTCTGTTGTTTGATTAACTTGAAGTATTTGATGAAATGTCTTCTGTGTGTGTATGCAATAGGTTCGCCCGCCAAGACCTCATGTTGTTAAGAGACCCAAGAGCAATATTGCTGTGGAAGGAAGAAGGACTTCAGTTTCTAGTCCAGAACAGTCATCTGGAAATTTGATGAAATTTCTTCTGTGTGTGTATGCAATGGTTTCCCCCGCCAAGACCTCATGTTTTGTGTCTGTTGTTTGATCAACTTGAAGTATTTGATGAAATGTCTTCTGTGTGTGTATGCAATAGGTTCGCCCGCCAAGACCTCATGTTGTTAAGAGACCCAAGAGCAATATTGCTGTGGAAGGAAGAAGGACTTCAGTTTCTAGTCCAGAACAGTAAGTACTTTGCTGCTCTGCTTCTCTCTAGTTGTGTCAACAAACAGTGCATTCAGAGTTTGATCAACTTGAAGTATTTGATGAAATGTCTTCTGTGTGTGTATGCAATAGGTTCGCCCGCCAAGACCTCATGTTGTTAAGAGACCCAAGAGCAATATTGCTGTGGAAGGAAGAAGGACTTCAGTTTCTAGTCCAGAACAGTAAGTACTTTGCTGCTCTGCTTCTCTCTAGTTGTGTCAACAAACAGTGCATTCAGAACTGGAACTAGCCAAAGGAGAAATTTAAAAAATACTACAGATCAAAGTAATTTTTTAACTAATAAAAAAATTGTGCGTTAATTTTTGGAACATTTTAGAGGAAGTGTGAAAAAGCAAGAAACCAAAGTTTACTTACTGGAAAATTCTGGTTTGCCAAGTTAGACATGATCTGATCAGCCTGTTTAGTGAAAGTTTTCAGGTTTTGGAGGTCTGTTCATTTCTTTGTTGTTTTGTTTTGAACTATGCTTTAAATGAAATTGTTAGCCACATCCCTGCAAATCCACTGTTCTTGCCAGGCTTACCTGGAAGATACAGAATTGTTTCGTTTATAGTGATGGCAGTAAGGGTTGTGTCTCATGCTTGTTAAGAGTCCCGCTAACAGAAGGTCCGCAATGAGCTCTATAGTGAAGGTTTGTAGAGCTTAACTGTCTTGCATAGTACTAGCAAATTTATCATCTCTTTAGATTTGACTATGAAGTAAACAGGGGTAATGTTCCAAATAAGTTGTACTGCCGTGCTTACTGCTAGTGCATAAAATGTGTTGGTTTCCAACATTTCTCTTGTTCCTATGAAGAGTATATTCTGTTACCTTGGCAAGACTTTTTTAGATAGTTTCATGAATGTCACATATTAAAGTACTTTTTACAAAGAAAACAATACTGTGTATTGTTGCAGATATTCTTAATGTGTTGCCATAGTTGAGTTAAACAATAGGCCATCAAGTGAAAACCTAAAAAGAGAATGGAGATATTGAACCTTACCAACATAACCCAAAAGACACTATTGTGTGTGACAAATATACGTGTAGGCTGCATCAATATGCATTTTGGATTTAAATTTATTTGATTTCTTCAGATTGTAGCTACTTCAACTGTTCAGAAGTACAAAAGATTCAACAGCACTAAGTTCTGATTGGATACAGAGGCTGGTATTAGCTGCACTTCTTAAGGGTCGGAATAAGCAGGTTGCCTCCTCTCAGTTCAGAATTTAGGAATCTTAAGAACTGTACATTTTGCCTGGGGCGGTTGATCTGAGAAGAAGGTGTTGTGAAAAATGTGGCTAGAGTAGGGACGGACCTGCTTGGCACTCCAGAGGAAGCAACTGAGCAGTGAGGTAAGAACAGCAGGCAACAGAGCCAGTATCCATTTTCCAAGTCATGTGGCACGATTAAACTGGTGTTCCCCACACGTGATGCTGTCCTTGGAACAGTGAGTGGAGTAGCATTTTCCAGCTGTCCAGTGTTGTGGCAGTGCAGCCTTAGCATGGGAAGTCACACTGGAACTGCTCACAGACTACGAGCAAAAGACTAAGGGACCACAAGATGGTTGCACTGATCTAATCTGTCACAGAGATTTCCTTGTAATTCATCTCTACCTGCAGCACAAAGTAATTGCTTATATCCTAGCCACTTCACATTATTTATTTGTCCCAGCCTGTGGGGGCTTTATTGTCAGTAAAGTGAAATGCTTTAGCTGATGCCCAAAATTACAGGATATTTGCTGTATCTGAAGATACTAAAATCCCATAAAAAGAAAAATGGTTTGTTTCTTTAAACACACCTTTCTCCCACATGTGTACAAGTTCGCTGTCACCACTGTTTGAGGGGAAAAAGAGGTGGAGGTTGGGTCCCCCCCGCCCCACAAAGTTAAGTGCGTGTCTAGCTTTTTCCCAGCCACTCTAGGATGGGGAGATATTCTGGCTTTTAGCTAAAATGAATGGTCACTTTTAAATTCTACAGGATTATTTATTCATTTTATAGTGGAATTTGGTTGCCCTCTTGTGGAGTAGATTGCAAATCCTGCAAAAGGTCTTGTGCTGTTACAGGGTGGTAGCCGTCCCTGCACAAAGATTTTAGGAATTTTTAAAATAAAAGTTTTTTCTTAATATGATGACTCACTGCATGTAGGTGAAGGATAATTGAGTCAATTTAACTATTATGTGTGTTTCATATGAACGATTATGCATATTTGGATTCAAAAGCTGCTTGACATTCCAGTGTGGCTTACTGCTAACATGTATTTTCAATTCCTGCCAGTATCAGAACAGAAATAAATGTAAATATTTACACTAATGCTAGTAATATATTGAATTACAATTATTATTTTACTCGGTTTTAATTTATCGCTGTTAATTTTAGTGAGTCTTTACAATTCAGCTGCTTTCACAGAGTAAACTACAAAAATTTTTTTGTGAAAATGATTGACAATAATCTACAAAAGATAATGAAGATGCTTTGTAGCTGTAAACTGACTTATTTTTCTTCATGAGCATTAGTGATAGATTTTTCCATCTTTTAGATGTGGAAGAAAAACAGGTAATGTTGCTAATACCACTGACACTTGCTGTATGGTACCAGTTGTGGTCTTTTCCTGATGTTTCACAGCTTCGATATTTTATCCAGTTCAAATGCAGTGTCACAGCAGGAACTGATGTATTTTCATTCTTTCCTGTTGTCAGCTTCAAGTGGCAAAACAAACTTCGACATAACTACTTCCAGACAGTTAATTGTAGAATATGGCACTCAGACTGATCTCCTGTAAGGTGTCTGGTTAGAGTGTTTTGATAAAAACAAGTTGGGGCAGGGGGGGGAGACGGGGCACACGACATGCAGCGACGATGACACTGACACTACAGTTGTGATTTCGGAAGTACAAGTGGAGGAAATATCTAACCTGTACTTAACTAAAGCTCAAATAAGTGGCTTACCTAAGAAATAACTTGAGGTGAGTGCCTTTGAAATAGGTAATGACTCAGTAATCCTGACCTTTTTTCCTTACTGTTTATCTCAAAATGACATTTTGAATAAAGGAAAAATATTTTTTTAAATAGTAATTAAAGATAGGATTTTCATGACATTTTTCACAAACTTTCTTTTTTCTGTCACAGTAAGAAATAATCTTCCTGTATTGTTCTGAAATGAAAACATAAAGCCAGGTGTTGTCTCTTCTGAAAAACTGCATTTTTTTTCTCCCTCTTGGATAATACTAAAATGAATGAAAACACCACAATATATATATTTTCACTTGTGTTACTTGGTAGCGTTGGAGTACCCTCATTGCAGAGCTGAGGAGATTCCATGAAAGCAGCAGCAGCGCTAAGGGGGTGCTTTTCTTAAACTAAACTTAACAAAAATATTTACCTTAATTGCACTGGTTCCAAAACTAATTATTAGCAAGTTACTTCTTTCGGGTGCTCATGTGTGGGATATGTTTGTGAGGAGGAGCTTCTGTTCAATGAGAAGTTTCTTTCTCTATTTAAAACTAACACTAACTTTTTGGTCTTGAATGATTACATAAAGGCTTCAGGGCCATTTCCCAGGATATCTGACTCATTTGCTCAGACCATGACTCTTGCATCCTCCTTCCCGCTGGTGGAGAGAGGGTCCCTGACCCACTACACAAGCCTGACACCCAGTGAACTCATTTCGCAGGGCAGCCTCTTTTCCATTTGTAATGTTGCATGTCATCTCTGAAAACGAAACCATTATGTAGGCATCCTGTCAGTTGTTACATTTATTAATGCATTTCTTATGATATTAGGAAATTTGTATGTTCAGTTACATGAGTTAATTTTTTTAAGGTGTATAAAAGAAAACCATTGTTTTGGGGGTATTTGTGCTCATTTTTAATCAGTCTTCAATTAAAAAGGAGGGCGGGAGCAGTGACTTCAAAGAACACCCAAGATTATTGCTAATGTCTGTTGTTAAACCATCATATTTAGAAGAGCTGGTGGAAGAACTATTGTTTCCCCCATCAAAATTTTCAGTTAATTTTTTTCCTATTTTAATAGAAAGGTGGGGGCTTTTTACAATTTTATCAATAATTCAAGGTTTGTGATGTTTATGATTCTTAAAAATTTGTCATTAAATCTAAAATGTATAATTATTAAAAAACCCTTTTTAATTACAAGGTAACAGGAAGAATTTTTTATGAGAGCTCGGAAAATGCTGGATTACCACCTGGGGCAATCCTAGACATGTGGGACATGCCTCCTTAAACACAAATTAGTTGTTCACAGAAATAAGATGTTGCATTTTTAACAGATAGGCAGTTTTTTGAGAGCTCTCTTTTACACCACAGCAAGATTTCCTATTAAATGTAGAATAGGCTTCCAGAGTGCTCTAGGATCTGTCTTCTGTAAGTACCGACTAGCTGGCTTCCAGGGCATGCAGAGTGGGAGGAAATTAAAATAGGAAATCAGAGGGTCAGGCTCACAATTAACAGCATGTCAAAAGGCTCTTGGGCTGGCTAAACCCGTGTCAGTGCTGCAGCAGTTCATTATGGCTTTCCAGAAGTCGTGTAGGACTTAGTAGAGAAGCTAATGGCTTTCCCTTATATCATATGAATGAAAATAGGCTGCAGTGCAATAGTGGGTTATTACATTGAATTTAGTATGAAGTCAGCATGGTGGCTGTGTTAAATGATACAGGCTCATAAAGCACATTAAATTCCAGTTGTTGTAACCAGGCTCTCAGAGCTCTGCCACACAGAATTTGTGTATGGTAAAGGTTTTCCATGG